ATACAGGAGAAATTCCCCACAACCCTCAATTGGAGGAAGTGGGAACAGTTGATACTGCTTAAGAAACTTTACATAACAAAAGGCAAGTTAATAACTGTGCTGCTACCCAGGGCAAAAGGTGTGCTGACTTTCAAAATGTATAGTGACTCATGACACAACCAGGAGAGCTTATACAGCACCTGTGCAAGAGGCAAGGAGGTGGATATCCATGTATCACTGAGAACTCTTGCCCTGACTAAAGATGGCAGCCAAAAGAAGGTAAAAAATACAGGGGAACTGGCAAAAGTAGTACACTATAGGAGGGGCTGGATATGAGGACATGTAGGAAGTCCCAGGGCAAGCATTTAAATAAGGTTGGACTGAAAAAGAAGGGAATTCCACCATGAGAGCTGAAAGAGCAGGGAGGCAGCTGTGAGGAAGAAGCCATGAAGTAGGGGGATTCGGCCCTGAGGTCTGAGAGAGCAGCAAGCAGCTCTGCAGTTTGTAGTGAAGTGGACTGCCATTGTTACAGAACACAACAAGGGGGGCCTAAGACAATATACTATTATTGAAAGAAGGCCCCGGGTCCGTTATGTCCGCCGCCAGAGGAAAGATATCTCTCAATGCTAGAGATTCGTGAAAAGGAAAGGAAATGTTTATTTAATGCTATACTAACTTAAAGTAGTGACCTAATGTCTTTATCAAAAATCCTAAAGTCCCTTAAAACACCCACAAACACAGTCACAGTCCTTCCTTCCTTCCCCCTTTGCCCAGTCCAGAGTACCGTATCTCAGGAAAGGAAAACGAAGTCCATGGCTCAGACAGTCCTCTGGTTCTTAGTTAGTCCTCCATCTCTACTGGGAGACCTCCTTGGGTTCCCGGCACCCTCAGCTGAGTCGCCGGGATCTCTGCTAAAACCAGGTGGTGGTTCCCCTTCTAAAGCTGTGGGGGTCCCCACTCTGTCCAGGCCTCATGGTTCTCCCTCTCAGGGCTGCGGGAAGGGGAGAGTCCCCACTCTGCCAAAGCCGCGTGGTTCTCTCTCCTAAAGCAGCACTGTTCTCTCTGGGATGCAGGAGTCTCCACTCTGTCAAAGCCGCGTGGTTCTCTTTTTCAGGGCTGTGCATGGCTCTCCTTCTCAGGGCTGCGCATGGTTCTCTCTCCTAAAGCACCACGGTTCTCTCCCTCAATGGCTGAGGTCCTCCCTATTCTGCTAAAGCCACATGGTTCTCTCTCTCAGGGCTGTGGGAAGGGGAGAGTCCCCACTCTGCCAAAGCCACGTGGTTCTCCCTCAATGGCCCCCAAGTCTCGGTTTTTAAATCCCCGCGGCCAATCTTCCTCTGCAGCCTCATTTCCGACTCCTCCCACACTCAGCTTCACTTGCCAGAATTCATATCCTTCCAGCTTTACTGGGCTGCCATCATGAGTCTGGGCAGGTGTGGCCCCATGTCCTGGAGCCAATCTTCTCCCAGCTCCCACGCAGGTGCTGTAGCTTGGGGGATCTGCCCCCAGTCATGTCTTGGTGGGGAAGTTACTTCCATTCCCCTGGCTCAGAGATGATCACAGCTATTTAACATATCCATGCAACCAGCCAAAGGCTATAGATATGTTAAATGACCATGCCAGAGGGTAGCTGCAAGGCTGTTGCTATGCAAAACAGCTCTCAATGGCCTTGCTCCATTTGTCCCTTCCCCCAACCCACACCCTGGGTGGGGGGATGGGGACATCTTAAAATCTCCTGGACACCTTAAGTTCTGGACCCCATTTCAAATGCCCATTTGGGGTCCCCTCTCTTGGCTGCACCCTGTAACACCATGAGGGCTGATGTGTAAAGGAGAAGCCATGCTGGCTGGGAGGCAGGATTCCTCCATGCGGCCTGGGGTCTGGGGTAGTGAGGAAGGTAGCCATATGGGCCGAGGAACGGGTGTAAGGAGAGAGCTAATGAAGTTGTGCAGGGATCTGGCAAGACTAATGGAGCTGTGTGGGAACCTGCCTAACCAAACACAGATTTGCGAAGGATGCTTTGAAACTGAACTGTGACCAGCAATGTAGACTTCTGTTTCTCTAAAGCACATACAGAGAAGTCACTCTCTTGGGACATGTGCCCCCCTGGACTCCGCCATGACCCAGTGTAACACAGCACATGTTTCCAGAACTACTACATGGAGGCTAAGGACAATGTACCCCAGATCCTGAAGAAGAGAGTGGCTGCAAGAGGATGAAGATTCTGAAACCCACAAATGTACCTTTCAGAGGGGATGGAGAACTGTTTGCGCAGCTGGCTTAAGAACAGATAATATGAGGAACTTTTGGGCATGTTCTTGGCTTATAGCCTGGTGGGGAGTAACGGAAGTGCTGGGTCTTGTGGGAGAACAGAGCTTTGAGCAAGAGTGCTCTCAGCATCCCCAAGGTTGGAATCCTGTAAAGAAAAACCTGTTTTCTTCAACACTAATTATTGGAGCATGTATCAAGGTGATACGTGGATGGGCCCTGATTTGGTCAGTTACAACTTTTCCTTTTCACCTTGGCAAAAAGCAGGTCCTTGGCTGCCCCCTAGGCACAGGGTTGTGCACACCAGTGGTGCTGGTTGCCTGGACCCTGGGAAAGCCTATGCAGTTTCTGGAACCAGACTTGGGGGTCATTTGGGTAGGGAAATCCAGGATCCTAGGTATTTAGAACATAGTATAGAAGGAAGGGAATGAGTTCTGGGTGGTCATGCCTCTTGACCCTGTGGACTCTGTACCTTGTAGGATTTTGTATACCTTGTTGTAGGGCTGGAGCAGGCATGCCTGTTGCTCATATCTAATGGTAATATTGGGTCAGATTATGTTATGAATATACCCTGACTACCACCTGCCAATCCCTTTATTAAACAATCACCGAATATTCTTGAGTATACCATCTGTTTCCTTCTGTAACTACAGATGATACAGCTTATTCCTTAAATGAGATTTACAGTAATTGTGAACTTGATGTAAGCCTTGAGGGAAAGTTTAACTTTCCAGGCAAAGAAAAATAGGATTTAGAAATTAAAGGGAAAATAAGAAAAGATATTAAAGGGGATTGAAATGCTATAGAATTTAATATTCCTATCCTATGCTAATACTTTCCCCCTATTTATTTGATATTTTATTTGACACAGCTTACAGACATTCTTCTTTTTGAAGTTATTCTTAATTGCACACCCCCTTATGTTCCCTCATATTGTTTAGGTATTGACAATGTACCTGGCATATACCCTATGACAACTCACTTCTTTTCCTACTTTTCTTTAATCAAGCTTCAGTAAACATTTTATCCATATACTGCATTGTGAAGTTACTTGGCTCTCACTTGATGGGAATGCATCATTTACGTAGGTTTTCTCCACTCTCTTCATTAGCCTGAGATAACTATGGTAATACTATTTGGTGCTATAGCAATCATAAACATGAAGGCAAATTCAGGCCCTGAGATCCTGTAGCAATATTCTATTTTCAGTGAGTATGAGCCAGAATATTTTTATATTATTTTTTTAAGTCACAGAAACATAAAACACAAACATTTTCAAGTTACTCTAAAGAAAATAGGTTCCCCTCTGCTCTGTCAGCACATCTGCTAACCTTAATTTGAGAAACATGAATTTTCAGAACTGAATTAATGTGAGAGGTGAGGAAAAAGGGAAAAACTTGATATGATGACTCAAAGATTTTTGGTCTGGGTCACTAGTTATGTGACTCTACTTACTGAAATCAGGAGACAAAAAAAAAGTTTTCAGGAGAAAGGATGAGTTTATACAGTCTCAATCTGAGTTCCGCGGTAGATTCCCTTTCTGGTAGACTGAACTGCGGGTATAAAACTGGAGTTCATGGGCTGCGAACCAAAGTGTCCCAGGTTCGATTCCCAGTCAGGGCACATGCCTGGGTTACAGGCCACAGCCCCCAGCAACCACACATTGAAGTTTCTCTCTCTCTCTCTCTCTCTTTCTCTCTCTCCCTCCATCCCTTCCCTCTCTAAAATAAATAAATAAAATCTTTAAAAAAAAAACACAAAAACTGGAGTTCAACAACAAAAAACCAAGGTCAAGTACTGAAACCAAAAGAATAGATGTGGACATTTGGTGAGAGCAGCATGCAAAAAAGAGAAGATGGCCGAAGAAAGCTAGCCTTGGAGAACATAGTTTCTGCAGAGGAGCAACGAGGGAGGAAAGGACAAAGCTAGCCCCATTTGCCTAGCAGGTCTATGTCCTTTTTAAACATGACTGCCATTTTACCTGTCTGAGTTTGTCCCCAGCGCTTATTCTCTACACTGTCTTCTTTTCGTGAATTCTTTCACAGCCCAAGTCACCGGCCACCCTAGTGAGGGGCAGAAGTAAGGAAGTCAAAACAAAAGCTTTATTTAAGAATGAAATGGTTATTGCATCAGATACTCTTAAAGGTGAAGTAAGATAGAAACCAAAAAAGAATGAATCATAGCTGATCAGTGCTGATCAGAGTTAAGAGCAATTTCACTGGAGTGTGGGGACAAAGTCTGATCAAAGCATGTCTAAGAGTAAAGAAGAGGAAAGGGGAAGTGAGGAAATGTAGCTAATAACTCAACACTCATTTGCTTTGTTTTGAAAATGTAGCTAGAGGCAATTGCCGGAATGGAGGACTTGAAAACAGTGTGAGAGCTTTGGGCTTTTGACTATCAATGAGGCATCAGGTGGGGAAAGACAAGGGACAACAGGTAGTTCACAAATATAGATCCATAAGGAGTGAAGACATATCAAGGGTCAAATAAAAAAGAGATTTCTTCCCAGTTTGGAGAGGGGAGTTGGGTGGAGTTATAGACAGGCTGAGGAATTAAGGGAGCTCACACATCACACTGAATGGCTGTGACTTTCTCTGTAGGACCTTCAGGCAGGGTCCACTTCAGAGACCTAGAAGGGTGGAAGGGGAGCAAATGACTTGGGGAAAGTGCTGAATATTTGGGAGAGAAATCTTCCCCAGAAAAGGTAAAAAAGGATTACTGAGAGGTATTGAGGGTATGTGAACATGGATTTAATCTCAAAGTTTTTCCTTCCAATTCTACCCTGCAGGGTGTAAGGCACAGAGAAGGCAGATGACGGTGGATTGAATTTAAATTCATTTCCCCAATGGCTCCTCAAAGGCCAGCATGTTTGTATTCTAAGACGTTATTCTGTTGCTTCAGCATCCCAAAGCTTTTAAGGAAATCAAGCCATTTTAACAGAAGTGGGTGGGAGTTGGGGGAGAAACCCGGAGATGAGATGCAGGAATTGGTACAACATTTCTTCTCTCCATATTTGTCCGGAGGGATGACAGGTGGCCGCTCAAGGTCCAGATGCCGCTCCCCGGGGTGGAGGAAAGAGCCCTGCCCCGAGCGACCAGGCGGAAGCACCTTTGTCATTGGTGCAGCAGCCACTTTCACCTGCGTGGAGCCCCGGGGGCCACAAGTGCAGAGCCTGTAGCGCCCAGTCTTGGAGGCGGCGGTCTTCAGCGTGAGTGGTCCCCGCCCTCGGCCAGGCAAGATGCCTCTGGGGCTGCGGGTAAAGAAGAAAGGCAAGTCCAAGGAGACCTACCGGCTGGTGGAGGGTGAGCAGGCGGGCGCGTATGGCGGCAGCCCCCCAGCGCCCCCAGTCCCCCGACCCAGTCTCGTTTTCCACACGCAGCTAGCGCACGGCAGCGCCACAGGCCGAGTGGAGAATTTCTCCAGCATTCAGGAGCTCTACACCAAGATCGCAGGCGTGTTTGAGATCTCGCCTTCCGAGGTAAGGGCCAGGTGCTCAGGCTCAGCCTCTCGGGCCCTCTCCTCTTTCTTCCACGCTGCACTTGCAGAAATTGGCCCAGCTGGTTGAACCCCACCCCGGACACGGTGGGAGCCCAGGGCGGGGAGCGCCCCAGGGGAAGGGAGAGGGGTTTACCGGGTAGGTGAAAAGTAAGTCCCAGGAGCTGAGAAAGTCCCATTTCCAGTGCTCGGAGATCCGGTTTCTTGGAAACTGGGGCAATCTTTCTTTCTTACGCAAATGAGCACACTGTCGTATTCAGCCGAAGGGGTCTGAGCGCGTTCCCAGGGTCCAGATCTGGCAGGGAGAACGAGCACTCTCAGCGTCATGTGGACTTCATTCTTCGGCTTCCTTTTCAGAGGTTAGGGAGCCACGTTGAGCATCTCCCAGATTAAGTGGGTGGGGCGGGGTGGGGAGAACGAAGTGCCTTTCAGCCCGCACTGAAAGTGCTCCACTTTGCCCCCCTTTGCCCCTCATAAGTACCAATACCAGAAACCTTTTGGTAGTATTTCCAGTAAGTTTATTATACCAGAGGTGGATAACTTAGAGAATTATACTTAAGTACGTGGGACTAGTTAATGAAATTTTCAGAGGGGAAAATCAGCTCTAAATTTTACACCATATGCTTGAAGAGGGACCAAAGTTTGCCTTAATTAGGTTGAACTAGAGTTCCATATCACTGTGATTTCGAAAGCACTAGTTTCTGTTGACGTTTATGTGATCACTTCATTTACGCTTGCCCAAGCGAACTGCAAAAATAGGTGTGAGAAGTGAGCCCAAGAAAGTATTTTGTCCACATTTCAAGGAAAAACACACGATCTTTTTGTCCTGGAGTGCAGGGCACTGACTTTGAGTAGCACGGAGCAGCCTTCGGATATCTGTTCTTTAATATTGTTTATCAGGTCTGTTCAGGTGAAATCGAGGTCATGGCAAAATTCCAAGAGGAGATGAAAGAGAGCTTGAAGTGTAACCTTTTGTTCTTTCAAGGTTCCCAAACCCTGAGGGGTAAATCACAAACCTATTTGTGAATTTTTAATATTGGTATAGAGTAGTAACAATAATAATTCATGTTTGTAATAGGACATTTCAATCCAAAGAACACTTTTATAGGAATATGTCCTTTTGATCTTTTCTAGGAAAGGTAGGTGGCAGGTAGTTTGCTGCATCCCTAAGGACTGATAAACCTGGTTGTGGGAGCCAGGTTCTACCACTTACTGGCTGTGTGGCCTTGAACAAATTTAACTTCCCTCAGTTTCAGCTAGCTATAAAATAGAGATAAGGACATCTGCTGTGCAGGGTGATTGTAAAGACTGGAGTTTCGGTAGAGACTGTAGGGAATTTGAACCAGTAGTCCCAAGATGTGCCCCTGTAGTATGCAGATTGTTTTGAGCTAAACACAACAGAGACCCCTCCAGCTTAACAAAAACTTCTGACCTCCTTTAACTGCCTAGACGAACTTGAATTAGGTAGTTATTTTCTCTTGTTAATCTGTCTCATGTCTATTTGACTGCTAGATCAGCAGAAAGAACCTTGAGGGTAGAGGAGTTTCATCCTCCCCCAACAATCTAATCAGATTGCGTGGTCAGCACTTAACAAATTGTAACTAATTTCATTAATACATAACAGTTAGATTGAGGTACAGAGTGACTGGACCTTGGCCATGTTCAACGTTTTCAGTTTTGAATAAACTGACTTGCAAGATAAAATTCCAAGATAATATAAACAAGTGGTTTTTTTGTACTTTATCAAAGTTCATAAACTTTTATAACCACAAATACATATGAGCATTAGTATGTTTATGCATATAACAAACATAATGGGAGTTTTCCATTTGGATTAAAAAGAGTTAAGTATATCCATGATAAAGTACTATTGTTTTTGATATAATAGTATGGTATGTCATAAGTATCTCAATAACTTTGAAACAGAAGTCATTTATTAAAATAAAATACATACCAGTGATCAATAAAATGAGATCCCATTTTTCATCCCATTCCCTCCTCAAGAGAAATAGTGACGTAAGCTTTTGAGATGTCACTGGGAACAAAAAATTTTCCCCTGTAATAGATTGTATACAAGGTTAACTCAGAAGTCCTACTGTTTCTCTAGAGAGGCAGCTATAAGAATATAAATAGCACTGTATAAAGAGCTCTTTACTGAGGAAATAAGGGAAGGACTTGACCTGACCTATGTCTGGTGCAGCTGATGGCTAGGTAGGTATGAGAGTCTACAGAGTGACCATTTTATTCTTACCATAGTATAGAGGAAAGTGTTCTTTTCATTTTACAGTTGAGCTAAGTGAGCCTTTGAGCACCTTGTCTAGAGTAACTGGGTTGGTATGGGGCAGAGCTAGGATATGAATCCAGGTTTTCTGATTCCAAGTCCTTTACATAGCAATGGTGAGATTCTTGGTAACTGGATTCAAATTCCAAATGCAAACCCAGAAAAGCTTTTTTTTTTTTAATCAAATGGTTTCTTTAATGAAAGCTTCAGATTTTCATTGCCTCGAAAAGATGCTGTTGTGAAATGGACCATTCTGGATATTATTTATTTCGTGGTCCCTGGAAGAGGAAGCTAATGAAACACTTGCAGGGTGCAGCCTGTGATCATTACTTTGAAATAGGCGGCCAATTATGCAAAAATCCCTTACAGCTGACATTGTTTTTACAAAAACAATGAAATGAGTAATTCCGTAAAAAGAAAAAAGAAAGTAAATTAATCTTGTCTAAAACAACAGTTAACTCATAAAAATGCAGGAATGGTTTTATAAAAAGTTTAATATCATTTAAAAAATACTCAGGTTATATAAATGAGTCAAACATTAATTTCTTGAGCCATAGTCATAAAATTTATTGAAGGAGCATTTTGAATAATTGACCATTGTAGTTATTTAGCAAGTAGTTGGTGCCATGACATGTTTTCTTACTTTTCTATTACAGGAAAACCTTGTAGTGAAAGATAATGAATTGTGAGGGCTTTTTATAAATCAGTTTTTCTTTTTGGTTTATAACATCTATTTATTTTAAAAATTTCCCTTTTAATTTAATTTATTGGGGTGACACTGGTTAAAAAATTCTACAGGTTTCAGATGCATACTTCTACAACACATCATTTGCTCACTATATTGTGTGTTCACCAACCCAGTCAAATCTTCCTCTACCCCCACTCCCCCACTCCACTACAACCCCCCACCTTCTGCCTGACAATCAACATCCTATTGTTCCTGTCCATGAGTTTTCCTTTTCTTACTCCTTTTCTCCCTCTGCCTCCCCCAGGTCCCCCCAACCCCCCAGTAGCTGTCATACTGCTCTCTATCTATGAGTCTGTCTCTATTTTGCTTGTTAGTTTATTGGATTCCACATATGAGTGAGATCATATGGTATTTGTCATTCTCTGACTGGCTTATTTTACTTAGCATAATGTTCTCCAGGTCCATCCATACTGTTGCAAAGGGTAAAATTTCCTTCTTTTTTATGGCCAAGTAGTATTCCATTATGTAAATATACAACAGGTTTTTACCCAATCATTTGCTGATGGACACTTGGGCTACTTCCAAAACTTGGCTATTGTAAATAATGCTGCAGTGAATACAGGGGTACATATATTCTTTTGAATTAGTGTTTTGGGTTTCATGAGATAAATTCCTAGAAGTGGAACTGCTGGATCATAAAGAGTTCCAGTTCCATTTTTAATTTTTTGTGGCATCTCCATACTGCATTCCCACCTACAGTGCATGAGGGCTCCCTTTTTCCACATTCTCTCCAACACTTGTTTATTGATTTATTGATGATAGCCATTCTGACAGGGGTGAGGTAATATTTCATTGAGGTTTTATTTACGTTTCTTTCATGAGTGATATTGAACATCTTTTCACATGTCTATTGGCCTTCTGTATGTCCTCTGTGGAGAAGTATCTATTTAGGTCTTTTGCCCTTTTTTAAATTGTATTGTTTGGGTTTTTATGATGTTGAGTTGTATATGTTCTTTATAAACTTTGGATATTGGCCCTTTATCAGATGTATCAGCAAATATGTTCTCTCATTTAGTGGGTTGTCTTTTCATGTTGTTGATGGCTTCCTTTGCTGTGCGAAAACTTTTTAGTTTGATGGAGTCCCATTTGTTTATTTTTTCTTTTGTTTCCCTTGCCTGAGGAGATATATAAAAAAAATGTTGCTATAAGAAATGCTCCAGATTTTACTTCCTATGTTTTCTCCTAGGATTTTTATGGTTTGAAGTCTAACATTTAGATCTTTAATCCATTTTTCTTTAATCTATTTTGAGTTTATTCTTCTGTATGGTGTAGGAAGGTGTTTCAGTTTCATTTCTTTTTTTGGCACATACCTGTCAGTATTTCCAACACCATTTATTGAATAGACTATCTTTACCCCATTGTATATTTCCCCCCCTTTGTCAAATATTAATTAACCATAATGGCAAGAGTTTATTTCTGGGGTCTCTGTTCCATTGATCTATATGTTGGTTTTTTATGCGAGTATTATGCTGTTTTGATTACTGTGGCCTTGTATTATAGGATGGTATCAGCTGGCATAATTACTCCAATTTTGCTCTTTTTTCTTAAGATTGTTGCAGTTTTTCAGGGTCTTTTGTGGTTCCATATCAATTTTTGAATTATTTGTTATAATTTGTTATAATCTGTGAAATATGCCATTACTATCTTGATAGGAAATGCATTCAATCTATAGATTGCTTTGAGTAGTATGGACATTTTAACCATGTTAATTCTCACAATCCATAAGCATGGTACATGCTTCCATCTCTGTATCTTCTTCAATTTCTTTCTTCAGTGTCTTATAATTTTCTGAGTACAGGTCTTTTACATCCTTGGCTAAATTTATTCCTAGGTATTTTATTCTTTTTGAAGTTGTGAATGGGATTATTTTCTTAGTTTCTCTTTCTGATAGTCCATTATTGGTCTATAAATTGCCACTGATTTCTGGACATTTATTATGTATCCTGCTACTTTA